AATTTTTATCATTTTTTTTCTGAACTCATCATCAAGGCTGGGCATGGTGACACAGGCCTCTAATCCCAGCATTTGGGAGGCTACAGCAGGAGTTCAAGGCCAGCATGGGCTGCACAGTGAGTTCAAAGCCAGGCTGGACTCCATGGTGAGACTGACTTGAAAAACATACACGAAAAAGGTTTTGAAATTTTAAATTGATGCATACTGTCTGCACAGGACGGAATTAGATTTCACAAATAGCCTGTAAGGAAGGAAACCATATAAAATATATGTTCACATGAGTCAACTTAGACGCCAGATTCCTGCCTCCTGGTATATGAAAGGCACCTCTGGGGCAGAACATACCATCTTCCGGTTCTGGCTGACTGTCCTCCTGTGGTAGGGGATGTCAGAAGGCAGGTCCTCCGGCAAGGTTATGCCCATTGGGACATCCTGGCAGAGGGGGTGGTGGAGCAGAGACACAGTCTGAGGACAGCCCTTTACCTATGCCAGCCAGGATGACGAGACCTGTCAGGAACTGTGGGCTTTACCCTGTGGAGGGGGATTAGGATATGTTTTTCTGCTGGCACTGGCCAAGTCAGCATAAGTTTGGACTTATGTCCTGTTCTCTGAGCCTTGGAAATGTTTCTGTGGGGGAAAAGGGCTCCGCCTCCAGCAGGTCCAGTCACATGTTCCAGCAGGTGAACACGGGCCTTAGGAAAGCTCCTGTGATGCCCAGGGCACTGCAGAGGTGCAGGCGCATGGCGATGAGGTCCTGTCCTTACTGTGGTTCAGCACTACCTACGATGCCTGTGTGCTGGTCCCATGAGATCCAGTCTCCACAGGGGCATGATCTCCCTGAGTCCTCCCAATGACACAGGTGAGGTGGGCGCCATTATTGTCCTTATTTTCAAAAACTGTGACAAAACACACATAATATAAACTATGCCATCTTAACCATTTTTAGCGTACAGTCCAAGAGCATTCACATGGTTGTCCAATCAATCTCCAGAACTGTTTTCGTCTTACACTTGGAAACTAGATACTCATTAAAGAACTCCCCATTCCTCCCTTCTTTCAGCCCCTGGTAAGCATTATTACTTGCTGTTTCTATGAGTGACTATTCTTTAAAACTTGTATAAGTGAAATCACACAATATTTGTCCTATTGTGACTGGCTTATTTTACTAAGTACTATGTCCTTGAGGTTTATCCATCTCGAAGCATATGTCAGAGTTTGCTTCCTTTTAAGCCTGAATGAATATATATACATGTTTTTTTCCTGATATATACATAATTTTGGCACCAAAAGAAAAGCTTGTATAAATACTTCAGTACTAAACTTATTCAGACATCATGAGATTAATGCAAGTTACCTTTGGCCTCTACAATTACAAGAGGTGCTCAGAGTGGTGGCTGTTAGCTTTCAGGCATTTATTAGTACAGTGAACTGCTGAAGTGGGTATACATTTTTTTGGCGGAATATATATCACATTTTGTTTATCCACTTATCTGCTGATAGACATTAAGGTGCTTCTGGCTACTGCACATAATGCTGCTGTGTACAAATATTTCTGAGACTCTGCTTTCAGTTTTTTGTTGTGTATGCCTAGAAGTGGAATCCTGGATCATACGATAATTCTATTTTTAATTTAGTTGAGGAACTACCACAGTGCTTTCCACAGCAGCAGTACTGTTTTACACTCTGCTCTACTTTGGTTCTTGAATGTATGTTAAAGGCTCGGTCTCAAGTACAACACTGCTATTGTGAGGTGGTGGAAACTTTAAGCCTGGAGAGGGGTTCAGGTTGCCCTTGAAAGTGGTTGTGAGGGCCCTGTCTCTTCTCTCTTTTGTGTCTCCACCATGAGGTGAGCAGCTTTGCTCCACAACACACTCCCCACCATGAGGTGCTGCCTCACCACAGACCCAAAGGCAGCCAGTCCATTATGGATGAAATCTCTGAAACCATGAGCCAAAATAAACCTCTCTCTCTCTCTCTCTCTCTCTCTCTCTCTCTCTCTCTCTATCTATCTATCTATCTCTCATACCAGGGATCAAACGTTGGACTTTGCACTTGCCAGGCAGGGTGCAGCACCACTGAGCTAAAATCCCCTTCACCTTGTCTCTTTTTAGGTTGATTACCTCAGGATTTGTCACAGTAACAGAAGGCCAACCAGCGCACATTCCCACTAGCCATCCACAAGGGTTCCAATTTCTCCATGTCCTCATCAACACTGGTTAGTTTCTATTTTTATTTTGGTTAGTAGCTACCCAGCATTCCTTGTGCCACCTTCTGGGGAGAGCCACCCCACCTTAACCCAGTGCTTACTCCCCTCCTGGTGGCCATTTGCCTTTTATTTTACTCCTACATAGAACCCAAAAAGCAAGTGAGGAAAGGAAAGACCAGTAAAAAGCAGGCCAGGCTTAGCCATGCACATCTGTCAACCCAGCTACTGGGGAGGCTGAGGCAGGAAGGTCACAAGTTTGAGGCCAGCCTGGGCAACTTCATGAGACCCTGTCTCAAAAGAAAATGAAAAAGGATATGGGTATAGCGCAGTGGTCTAACACATATGGGGCTCCGGGTTCAACCACCAGTACTAATACAGATATAGATAGGGGCTAGGGAGCCACTCCCCTCCATTCACCTGAACCTGGGCAATGCCCCAGAGCCAACCCCCCACCTTTGTCCTAAGGCTTACTAACAGTCAGAGATAAGAAAAAACAAAGACCTCTCTCCCTAATCCTGTCCAGAAAATTCCAAAATTCCAAACCAGAATGCAGGTGCACCAGATCTGCCAGCTCGACCCACAGTAACCCTTTGTCGGCTAGAGCTCACTGAAGGTTCATGCATATGAACTGCATTGCCGACATCCAATGATAACAGAGTGAATTTCAGAACAATAGACACAGCTGATATGACTCAGCATCTTGTCAATCAGGCTCTGAAGAACTCCAAGGGGAGGTGTCGCAGAGCCCGGGCAACACCTTGCCCCTGTGCTGTGCACCCTCTGTGCTCGAGGCATTTTCCTTTCTGCAGCGTGAGCCTGCTCACTCAGAGCATACTACTGCCTTAATAAACTTTGCTGCTGCTTCCTTACCCTCACATGTCACATCCAATTCCTTGTTTCTTGTGCACAAGAGTCTAGGAAACCGGCCTGGACCCCATCACCCACAGTGGCAATACCACACACAAAAGCAGATCCTAGTGCATGCGTGGGAGTGTGGGATGTGCATTCCTAGAGTTGCCCACAGGACCCTGTGAACAGGAACTTGGAGGCCCGTTGTCACCTCTTTTCACATCCTGAGGTGAACAAAGCCAGCGAGGAAGGGAAAAGCAGAGTGGTCAGCCCTGCTGTCTGGGAAGACTGCAGCCTGTGGGTCCAGGTGCTGAGGGCATGTCAGGAATTGAGGTGGAATGAGCCGCCTTCCAGCCTCAGATGTCCCCCAGGGCCAAAGCTGTGGGCAGGGTTAGACTAGCAGTAGGAATACCTGCTAGGGAATCAAAGCCAGAGAACATAGCCACTCTGGGGCCCAAGGAAGACACAGCGCTAATGCTGGGGGCATCCAGAGGTGGCCCACAGCCTACACTGCTTTTCACCAGTCCTGCAGATGCCAGAGCCAGCAGCCCTGCTGACCACTATTCTTTCACACAGGTGGCTTCTACATCTTCCTCACAGGTCTTCTTGCTTTTCATAGCAGTGAGAGAAAGCGCTTTTTAAAACATAAACCTGGAGTTGTTATTTCCTCATTGTCCTCAGAATAAAGTCAGCTCTTCAGTGTGCCTATGAACTGGACCTACAGGGATTCCTAGCGTTCTGTCCTCCTCTGAGCTCCAGCCAGCTATCCTCAGGTGTGGGAATTCCACTGCCAGAATCTTCCATGTTCTTTGCATGAACAGATTCAGCTCAAATTCTACCACTCCTTCTTGGAGTGTTTTTTCATCTTGTTATTCCACAGAAAGGTTTATGTATGTATGCATGTATGTATGTATGTATGTATGTATGTATTTATTTATTTACACAGATCACACAGCAAGCAAGCCATTATTTGAATTTGGGCTCCAGAACTGATTACCACGCAGGGTTAATGTTAATCTTCTCTAACAGCCAGTGTGCCCCATGGGCATCTGACCACGGCCCAGATGTCTACACCCTAGGGCCCAGGACTAGGCCAGATACAAGCTCTGATGAGTGCCACTTTGCTCTGCAGGAGAGAGATAAGCAACTAGCAGAGGCTTGTAACTTTCAGGAAGAATGTAGAGTAGAAGAGGGGTGGAAAGGTGGGAAATCGCACATGCCTGATCAGTAGCAGGAAGGACCAGCAGCTGGTGGGGATGCTTTCTCGGAAGCAGGGTGTGCCTCGTCCTCCAAGCCCCTGCTCCGTATCAGATACACAGCTGAAAACACAGTGGCAGAGCATAGCCCTGACACCGGAAATTGAGGGAACGGGCCACCAAACCTCAGGATGCTGCAGGGCCCCCACCTACCGAGCACCATGCTCAGAGGTCTCTGAGAGCCTATCTCTCCGTGAATGCCCGGGGAGGTTCCACTTCCTCTGGCTCCTGGCACCCAACCGGCATGGGGCAGGGTGGGGTTGGGGGTCTACTCCCTTTTGGAGAAGTTGGGTCTCGGGACAGGAGCCTTTTTCTGTGCCTGCACTCGGACTGAGCAGAGTCCTCCGCATCCCCCTCCTCATCCCTGGCAGGAAGGTGACTTAGGCTGTGTACATCACGGCAGCCTGGGCCGGGACTCTAGGTTCTTAGGAAATCATTTTACGTGTTGTGAAACTCGGAAAGGAAGACAGTTGGTGACAATGTTCCTTTCTCCATTCGCCCCACACTGGACAGGAAAGCTTCGAATGATTGTGCAGGACTGCACACCTGTTGCTAGGTAACCGCAGTTCTGAGGGGAAGGAGGACGCCGACCCAAGCATTGCCAGGGAGTCTCAAGAGGGGCTGACACACAAGGAGGGTGCTCTCTTCCCAGTTCCCAGCCTCGACTCCAGAGCCCGGCTGCCACCCACCTCGGTCACGATGGTGGACTGGAAGACGTCCTGGCTGAACTCCCAGCCATCCAGGCAGCGCTCCTGCTCCAGCTGCCCCAGCTCCACGTCGCGCCCCGGCTCCAGCCCGAGCGCGGAGAAGTTGGCGATGGTGGCGAGCCGGTAGCGGCGGCAGCCGTCGGGCACCTCGCGGCCGTCGCGCAGCAGCAGCGGGATGCTGTGGTTGCGCCACGCGCTGCTCAGGTTCGCGGCGTCCGGAACCCGGCAGCGGTGCTCCGGGGACCCCGCCAGGAACACAACTGACATCCCATTGAAGCCATTGGGGATGATGCTGGCGCTGAGCAGGAAGAAGACGAGGCGCTGGAAGGGCCCCCACTCGCCCAGGAAGGCGGTCACCTCCTCGTAGTCCCGCATGCTTCCCGCCGCTGCTCTGTACCTTGCAGCGAGGGTGGCAGCGCGCTCCCGGTCAGTGCCGCCTTCCCGGGCTGTCCGCGCGCTCCGGGCCCAGCGGGCGGCGGGACACGGGCTGTGGGGGATGGAACGCAAATTGCGCACTCGGACCTCACCCCCGGGCACTGGCGGGGCCCGCGGAGGGCCTAGGGCCATGGGGCGGGGCTCCGCGCAGGCCCCGCCCTTTCTCCCGCCCACACGGCTGCGGACCGTGCAGGGCGGGGCCGGGTGTGGCGCCCGCGTGTGTGTGGAGACGCAGCCCGGAGGCTCGGTGTCTTAGCGACCCCCGAGCTCAGAAGTCCAGAGGGAAGGGCGGAGTGGAGGACCGAAGCTGAGGTTCGCGTTGCTTCGTGCCAGGCCTGGCCCCAGGCAGGCGTCCAGCGGGGCGCAGCCTGGGGCTGGTGACCTCGGGGCCCTGAGAACGCGGGGCGGGCGGCTGGGGTCACGGGTGCCTCTCCTGACTCGGGCACCCGCCGGCGGGAGCCCAGTTCTCGCTCGTCTTAGCAGCGCGCGAATCTGTCATCAGCCGGAGGCGTCTTCCGGACTGCCAGGTTCACTTTAAGGCCCGCAGCCTGCGGGGTGAGCAAGGTCACGCTGCTCCAGACACGCGCCCTGGACCGACGTGGGTGGGGGCGAGGGCTGTGGGCTGTCCCAGTGTCGCCACAAGGACTTCTGGGGCCTGGACGAAGCGTAGGCGCATTCTGCCCACCTGGAGCACAGTCACCACGCACGCACGCACGGGGGGTCTGATTGTCATCCCCTCTCCCCACGCCCCCAGCGCCCTCCTGGGGCAGGGTGCCAGGCCCTTCTTGGACCGAAAGGTCCTGTGTTTGTAGAAAGGGCTGCCCTCCCTACCGGCTCTGAGGAGGGAAGGAGGGAGGGAAAGAGGGAGGAAGGAGGAGAAATTTCCATTTGGTGCTCAGATCTGGCGGGGTAACCAAAGCAAGGATCATAGCCTCCTCTTTGTTTTTAAGTTAATTTTTTTTTTTCCTGTTAGTGCCTAGATCTAAGGCTGGCCTGGGCTGGAGCCTGAGTCTTGGGGTTCGTGGGACAAATGAGATTGATAGGCTGAAGGGATCATCTCTGTGGAGGTTCTGGTATGAGTGAGTTTGCTTCTCCAGGCCCCCTTTAAAGAGGCCGAGGGACACTCTTCCCCTTTTTTTATAGCTTCCCACCACGCTGGGAGCTTAGGTTTCCTTACTGTAATTTTAGGCTGTGTCCTCATGTGCTACAACAATTCTGTTGTGTGCCCATTAATCCAGTGAAATCAACAGATTCCCTTTACTTTCAAAAGTATTGTTTGAATGGTGCGTTATTACTCATTGTCTTACTTAGCTTGGGTTTCATGCCTTCATCCCAAATTCAAATAATAAAGCAAAGCCTGAAACAAGAACTTACATGAGGTAGTTTATTTTGAGTAATGGTCCCCAGGAAACAAAAGTAAGGGAGTGAGGAAAATGAACAGGGAAGCAGAGAAAACTAGCCGAAGACTAAAATTGAGCTGGTCATTGGCAGTGACTGGTATCAGTAACAGTCTCTTTTCTTTTTTTTTTTTTTTTTGGGGTGCTGGCGATTGAACTCGGGTCCTTGCACTTGCGAGGCAGGTGGAGGAACCACTGAGCTAAATCCCCAGCCCACAGTCTGTTTTCTTGCAGCCTGAGGCAAAGGAAAGACTGGCAATACTGACCCCACCTTTTGATATTGTGTTCGTCATAGATTTTTGCATTCATTTTTGTTTTTTATGATACTGCATTAAAATAGTAGTTGTATTTATTTGTGAGTATCTTGCTTTGTTGCTCAGGATGGTCTCAGAATCCTACCTCAGCCTCGAAAGTAGCTGGAACTACTGTGCCCAGCTCAGATACTTATCTTGATTACTGAATTTCTTGGTGCTTCTTTATGTTTTTCGCATAGAGGCTCCGCTCTTCATTTGCCTCAGCTGAGTCTCTGCCCTCGTCTGTGGGAGTGCCTGGGGTTCAGCCCCACCAGAGCCTTCTGAAGAAGAGGCCTTTGTCCCCTAGTTATGGCTGTTGGTTAGCTCCTCCACACTCCAGTGCCATGTGAGAGCTGCACAGTCACCACTCAGCCAAGCTCTTCGTTGTTGCTTACACATGTAAATCAAACTGTTTTGTTCTCTGCACAAAATGAATGAGCACGTGTACTGCTTACAGCTTAGCCTGTGTTGTAGTCAGGGCTTGCAAGGGAAATAGATTTTATACAGGACACATAATTTATAGGATTATAATAGTCACCCAAAAAGTCGGATGCAGAGGAGTGCAAGAGATCTAGCCATGTACTAGAGGCCCAAAGAATCCAGCCAAGGGCCTGCTTCCCACAGCAGTATCCCACACAAGTCCAGCCGAAGGCCTAAAGTCCAAGGCAATGTACACCACGAGTCTAGCCAGTGGCCTGGAGCCCATGGCAATGTCTCATGCTTGTCTGTATTGAGGATCTGCACCTGGAAAGCCCAAAGTCCTGTGGTGGAAGCCAGAAAACCTGCACTGGTGGGGTGAAGGATTTGTGCCACCTGGCAGAGGGAGCCACGCTAGAGCCAGGAAGTGATGCTCACAGTGAAGATCAGAGCTCCCCTGAGGACACCAGCCATTCCCAGAGACGGTAAAGCCCCGAGCTCCTCCTCCAACAAGAACAGCCATGTTCCCACCAGGAAATCCAGCCTTGGCAAGCTTCTAGAAAATCAGCAGTCCACAATCTTCCCCTCTAGTTCTCTTTTTATGCTGTCAGCAACAATCCTCAGGTGAGTCTTCCATGCTCAACCGTGTTGATTCCACCACAGCCTGTTAGAAGGATTTCCCTTCACCATTTTCGGGACCACCCCCTAAGTGGAGCTGTGTTGCAGTAACAATCTTTTTTTTTTCTTTTTTGTCTAGTACCAGCATGTCAAACTAACCCATTTTTTTCCCCTCTATCAACTGGTTTCAGAAAGTCACCCCACAAGGCTACATGTTTGAGTTGAGGGAGAAGTGTTGGCATTATGTGTGGGTTAGGTATCAGAGAAGTCTGAGCTATCTGTTATTGATTTGCACACTATTGACTTGCTTAGCCCTGATTTTGAATCTACCATTTCTATTGGATGATGGATTGCTGATTGGCCCACTTGATACTATGTCTTGATAGACTCTGACAGTACTCAGCTATACTAGGTATCTCTGGTTGCACAGACCTTTGATGCCCCACTGCCATGCTCTTGGTTTTAATGGAGGCAAATAGCTGCATTTCAGAAGTCAAATAACTGTGTACTGCAAAGGAATGGTCTTGTTGCAGAACACCAGAGGTCTGCACTGAAATTTAAGAGGGCTTATCAGAGACTACCCAGCACCCTTATTCACCAAGAGCACCTCTAGAGCATGTGGACCAAATAGCAGGGATGTTTGTACTGTAGTGGGACACATTGTAGCTCTTTCACTCTGGGCTTCCAACACACCCACCCAATAGATGGGTCAGAGTAGTAATCCATCAGGTGCTGTGTTCAGAGGTTAGGGCAAACAACCTGTCTTTACAGGGGATAACCTGGCATGCTCCAGAGTACTGCAGTCCTAGCTTCACAAATTTGCTTCAAAATAATATGGATGGAAGAAGTGAATGGGGATATAGACGAAATAAGATTGCCAGTGATAGTGGTTCTCGTGTTCATTTTACTCACTTGTCTAGTTTTATATGCATTTAACTTTTCTAGAATAAAAAGAAACATCATCAATGTGGAAGGGCCTTCATACTTTTTTCTCAATCGTCTGGCATACATGTATCTCACTAGGACATGTAGAGTACATGCTTATTCTTGTTCACTAGGACAGATTAGCATTATGTCTTTAGTACAGTGGGCTACCATGATGTCCTGTAGAATATCGAGACAGTCACAGTTGGTAAGTGCTGTGACAGAAAGCAGGCAAGTTAACAGCCACGGGCAAGTCTTAGTCTGTTTCCTGCTGTTACAATGGAGTCCCACGGATTGGAGGAGAAGTCCAGTGTCAAGGGGCTGCTATCTATTAAGTGGTTTCTTTGTGCATCATAACAGAGCAGAGGGCACCACTTGAGGGCATGCGAGTGCCTGTGTGTGCCTGCTTTTATGACCACGCCACTCCTGAAACACCTGACCCACTCCTGCAATAACAGGATTAATGGATTAATGCATTCGTGAAGGTGGAGCCCCCATGACATATCACTTTCTAAAGGTCCCACCTTCCAATACCATCTCAGGGTTTTTTGTTTGTTTGGTACTGGGGCTCGAACTCAGGACCTTGCGCTTCCCAGGCAGCTGCAATGCCACTGAGTTACATGCCCAGCCCTCTCAGGGGTTTTTGAATTTCCACATGGGTTTTAGAAAAGATATTCAAACTATAATCATCCTTACTGAAGGGTACTGAGAAGAGTATCTTTGATGTTGGTACTACTGACCTCCAAAATTCTATCTAGAATGTGACTTAGAAAATGATTTAATACCTTGGCTAGAACGATGACGGTTATTGTCAGGGGCTTCCATTTGGCCTGTTGAGCCAAAACTAGAGTGAAGGATCTCTTGAGAGAAAAGAGTATATTGAGCCATTATATTTTGCTAAGTCCCGGGACAAATTCCCACCACTGCCAGCAGCAATGCCAGATAGCGGTTAGAAATATGTCCACTGGACCTAGAACTAAGTTTAGTTCTACAGACATTTGGGAAGGAAAGCACTATTTGCATTAAAACAACTTGGGTTCTAGATGAGAAGGGTGGGGAGGAAACTTTGGGGTAGGAGGGAGAAGTGGAGTTGACCGCCCAGAAAGTTTGCATAAACGGGACAGTGGCCTGGTAGTTGGCAGTGATGGAATTTAAGTCAAGCTTTCAATATAGTCATTTATTGTTTCACCTGCAGCTGTTCATTGACTAGCTTCTCTTACCCCCCCCCCCCATAGTATGGATCTTAAATGTCTTCCAATCAAAGACTTGATTCCCAGGATGACCCGTGATGGTGGTACCATTAGGAGGTGTGGCCAGATGGGAGGTCATTCGATCATTTGGGTATTCCCTAAAATATGATAATGGTAACCCTTGTCCCTTTTTCTCTTTTACCTCCTGACATAAGTGGGTTTGCTTTGGCACCTGCTTTCATCATGAGGGGTTGCCTTGCTATAGGTCCAAAACAATGAGGCTAATTGTCCATGGATTTGAACCTCCAAAATTATAAGTCAAAATAAACCTTTTCTATTTATAAATTAATTCTCAGGTATTTTGTGAAAGTAATAGACAGCTATATAATACACTCCTTCACTTTCCAGCTTTTGTAATTAAATTTAGGACATCTCAGAAATGTTCTTTTTTAGGTACTTTCTACCATAATAGTGCTTACTAGGACAGAGAGTAAATCTTAAGAGTTCTACTGGCTGCTAAGAATAACTATTCCAATTATTCATTTAAGGAACAGGGAAATACTAGTGCGGATATTCAGAGTCATCAGACCTATTTTCCTGAGAACTTAATTTATCATCTGGCTTTCTGAGCTCCTCAGTTTTTTTTTTTGTTGTTGTTACTGGGGAATCGAACTCAGGACCTTACGCTTGCCAGGCAGGTGAAGTGCCACTGAGCTAAATCTCCGGCCCTGAGATCCCCAATTTTATTGGAGGAACATGACAGTGTTTGCCACACCTAGTGTTGTTCTCAGCTCCTACTGTACTCCACCGACCTTG